CACCTACAAGCAGGTCAGCCAGCTGAAGATGCACCTCAAGATGCACTCCATGGAGGAGGGGGGCGGCGGCGGAGATGAAGGGACCAGGGCCGACGGCCCAGTTGAAGGTGAAGAAGGTGAAGAGGAGGAGGCCAGTTCGGGGCAAAGGGACACAAAAGATGAAGTCACAGGGGAGCCAGTGGAAAGTGGAAACAACGCTGAAGTGCTGAATGCTGGGGATAAAGAAGAAGGAGAAGAAGGCAAAGAAAAAGAAGAAGAGGAAAAGGACAAAGCTTTTGAGGACACCAGTAATACTGATGATACTGATGATGATGACTTCGTTGCTGAAGATGATGAGGAGGAGGAGGAGGATGATGATGATTGTTGAACTAGAAGATTCCGGAGTTCGAACATTATTGTTGGCAAGCTGAGTATTCGAACTCTCAGAGCAGGTATATTAGGAGACTACTGCTCTGTCATTTATTCATTCAAGCTAGTTGTATTTCAAAGCTATTTTTGTATTGTTATTAAAAACTAAGCTGCTCTACTCGTTGCCTCTGCTGATTAATAATGACGATAAAAATGAGGATGATGATAGTAGTAACAGTACTGAATAAGAAAAACAAAGTGAAAACAGTGTTTTTGAAACACGCCGATCATTTTCAGACAAAAGGGCCCTTCTTACTTCAAATTTGGTACCGTGGGAAAGGTCTTGTTCAATCTTTGCTTGTTACACACACACACACACATCACATCACAGTTCACTCTCTTGTCACCCCTCACCAGAGCGGTACATCAGCCTACCTGTTTTTCTTTATCTCTCCACAATAAACCTCACCGATAGCTNTTTCTTTATCTCTCCACAATAAACCTCACCGATAGCTCATCCGCTACAACAGCAAAATTTTAAAGTTTTTAGGTTTTTTTGTACATCAAAAGTTTTCAATTAGGCTAGTAAAGCCTTTTCTAAATAAGCGTCGAACTGAAGTAGAATGGCCGACAACGGTCGCAGATGTTGTCCGTGTAGTAGCAGTGCTTTGGATCACTCAGCTGCAGCTTCTCATCGACGCAGAGCTGAATCTCTCGCAGATACTGCCGTCCAGTATTTGTTCCCTTCAAAACGGTTCCATTATTATTTCCAGTTCTGCCATTATCAATCTGGCAAATCAGTTGCACCGAGTG